GGCAGGCCCCACACACACTCACACACGGCTTGCCGAAAATACGCACCGAGGCAGCATCTCCGAGCCAGCTCCGACACTCTCTACAGCTCAGCGAACGGCGGCAAGCAAGCTTCCGCACACACACATAGCAAGCAGCACGGCACAGAGGCTCAGGAAAGCCCCCGGACTCGATGCACCACCCACCGCTCTTGCGGGCCATTGCCGGCGCACGGCTGCAGTCGGCGCGCGCTGCGTTGACACTCGTCCGCCCCGCGCACAGCACCCGGAGATGGATGGCCAGCATGAGCTCCATGGGCGAGCCAAGGTACGGCGGAGCGAGGTCGGCCCAGGGCCACAGGCGCCGGCCGGCAAACCCGCCCCCTCCACCACACGGCCGAGCCACCACACATCTCCCGGACACGGCGATACCGCATCTCGATGCCTCAGAGCTCAATTCCGTCTTCTCACAGGAGGTACACGATTCCCGGCACTGCCCCCGCTGTTGCAGCCATTTTGGATGCTGATGGACCTGGTGTAGCTATTCGTCTTTCGATGTGACATCTCCGCTTCACAAATATCCTCCGCAATGTCCTCCTACCCCCGGCTACGCAGTCTCGAGGTCCTCCTAAACGAAAACGATATATCGAATCTCTCGCGGCAGCTCCACAATCGCTTCCGACATGACCGAGACAAACAAGCAATTTTCCCCCATGTCGAAACGCTCATTGCAGATATGCAGTCGGGTGTGATTCCAGGTCACCCTCTCGCTTCGGTGCATCTCCTTTCAGCTCTCAAAGACATGTCAGAGTTTGAGACGGCAAACAGGTTTTGGCAATGGCTACGGACTTGTGACGAGCAGTACACCGATGCTCGTGTCTACGGTGCGATGATCGAAACCCTTGCGTATCAGGGAGAGCCTCTCTCAGAATTGGAAAAGCTATATGAAGAGGCATTCGAGCGATATTCCAACAGAAGGTCAGAGACTGCAAAAGAAACTGGTGCTACTAGGATCATGTTGCTTCAGGGTATCATAACGGCAAGAGTTCTCAACGGGGAATGGAGATCAGCATATGAGGCTTTCGACCTTATTCTTCGGCTATACCCAACCGCAACACCACCTCGTGTCTACGAATTGTTCATCTACGAACGGCCAATCAAGGAAGCCTTCATTGTGTTTTTGATGGCCTGTCGTGCAGGAACACCTCCAAAGTCTGGGGTATTGACTCCGATGCTCAAGGGTGTATGGCAAAAGCATAAAGATGCAACTGCCATGCTTAGACTGGTATGGGCATATGTTGGCGCTGGAGGAACCGTAACCCATCATCATCTCAATATGATCATCAAGGCAATCTTGATGTCTTATCCGGAAAAACCCAAGGACGACACTCACCAAGCCCTGATCGACCATGATGCTGGATTCAAGCAGATATTATCCTATGTCCGGGATTGTGTGTCGGCTTTCCGTGCTCTCGGAGTGGAACTCGCGCCAGCAACCTTCAACACCTTGATCGCTTGTGGAGGAAAATTGAAGCGAGGAGAGCTTGTTCTAGGTGGTCTCAAGGATATGATGTCTATGGGAATGGCTCCTGATTCAGTTACTTACCGCACACTTGTCTTGGCCGCCGGAGATCTCGGAGATGTCAAGCAGCTGGAAGAGGCGTGGCAAATGCTCGATGCCGCTAGGGAAGAAGACTATATTGCCAGTGGTGGTGATAATTCCCCGACTCCGATTCCGAGCCGTGGATGGGATATGAAGGATTTTAAAACTCTTATTGACGGATGCTGGCTCCTCAACCATGCCGATTACGCACGCGGTGTAATTGAGGCAAAGCAAGACGAAATGGGGCCCCTCATGTATAGCGAAGTATGGGCTCACTTTTCAATGATTCAAGAGAAGGTACTCGGGATCAAGAGACGCTTCTCCACTGCTACCGACCAACCCGATTTGAAAGATGCAGCAGCTGAAGCAAGCGTCCTCTCGGACGCAATCACCTCACACTACCTTGACAAGCCTAATTCACAGAACCCAGATCATAAGCCATACATGTATGATCTCACACAAGACCTTGCTCCAGAGCTAAAACGTCTCTTGGCTGTCTTTACATCCCCAGTCATCACAACATTCTGCCCGGTTTCACCAAAACACATTCCACTCGACCTTGACCTCTCTGCCCCGCCTTTCCCACAGCTTCCAGATGAAAATCTACAGGAAATTTATGACGAGCTGGTTGATCGACCGCATAGAAACAAGCTTCCGGGACAGAGTATCCGGTTTGAAGAGCCTCCGGAGGATGATGTGGTTACCATGGCGAGTGGTATCGGCGGCGGACTCACGGCGACGGGATATACTCTCCGGGACCTCAGATTCCAGAACTGGATAGCTGTCAACAAGCTGCTTTTTGAGGCTGAAGTGCACGAGCGAAAGGTCCAGGAGCGTGTGAGAAGAGAGGCAGCCGGCCTTGATCCATCGACCCCCGACCGAACAACCGCGTTGTCCAATGATTCGAATACGTTGAGCGGATGGGACAAGGGTCACAAGATGGGCTTGAAGTATCTCTTCTGGAAGGAGGGGCAGATCAAGGAGAGGGTCAGACGCACGAAAGAAGGTCGCCGGTCCGATAATGCCCATGTCTATGTCGATGTCTCGACTGGCAAGATTGAGAGGGGAGGCCCCGGCTCTAGAAAGATTCTGATGGATAAAAATGGCGGGATATCAAATTTCAACGCGGATGGAACGCCAAAGAAGAAGGATGTGAATGAGGTGACTGAGATTAGGGCGATCATTGGTGGTGGCGGGATTGGGTTTGTGGATGATGAGGCGAGTGATGTGAGGCCGGAGATGTTTGGGCCTCAGAAAACGTCGTCGAAGAAGAGGCCGACAAAGACGACAAAGACGGTGTATGGGGAAATACCGTTCAGTGTGGGGGGGGCTTATAATTCGATTGCTTTGGCGGCTGGGGAGGAGGATGTGACTGCAACCCCAACGAGTACAGAGGCAAATGCATCGGAATCAACGTCAACAACTACGATAGATGATGCAAAGCCACTCGATGAATCGGCCGAAGTAGCAGAAACTACACAAGCCTCAGAGGAACGCCCAGCAGAGATCAATGAGGCCGATATCGTACTCGTGAAAGAAATCCCTGTCGCCGTTTCTCTTGACCACGAGCTCTCCTCTCAACCACCGTCCACACCCTCGGAACCACAAGCCACCACAGCATCCGGGCCCGCGCCTAAACTGGAGGTGGAAATCGAAATCATTGCCACCCCAGAAGAAATCCTCGACGAAGCTATACCCGTGGCCGTAGAGGACGCTCTATCATCAATCACATCACCCCCCGTGCCCACCGAGTCCCAGGAATCCGTCCCTGCAGAGCCAACTGCCGAGATTGAAGTCCTTCCCATCACTTCTGAAGTCACACCAGAACCAGAACTCGAAATCCTACCTTCCTCCGCGACCATCATCGCCAAAGAATCCAAAGAAAAAGACGAGCTCATCACGGCCATCACATCCAGCACAGTGACGACCCTGCTTGTCGAGGAGGGACCCGTGGACGAGGTCTCCTTGATCGATGATCCATCCTCCACCCCGCTCACTGCGCCGCCGGAAATTTCCTCGGAGGTGGAATCCGAGGTTACGATGGTGGATGGGGTTGTGCTTGATGCCACTGCCACAACTGAAGCTGAAGCAGAACTTGAAAAAATCCTACCTACCTCCAAAGCTAATGAGGCTAAGGAGGCTAAGGAAAAAGACGAATCCATCACAGCCATCACATCCAGCACCATGGCGTCCCGACTTGTCGAAGACGGCCCCGTGGACGAGGTCTCGTCGATCGATGATGCCGAGACCCCGCTACCGGAACTTGTGACGGAGCAGGGTGAGGTTACGATGGTGGATGATGGGGTTGTGCTTGATCATGTCGCCACCACCACCACCACCACCACCACCACAACAGAGGAGGAGTCCGCACCATCTACACAAACACTACCAACAACAGAAGCTGAACCGAAACCGACTCCTACCACCACCACCACCACCACCACCAGCGCCCACATCCCCACAGAACGCCAGAAACTTAAAGAGACTCTCGCGCGGGAAAAGGCGATTGCTGCTGCCGCGGCTGCGAGGATTGCGGAGATGGAGGCGCTGCTTGCTGCGGAGGAGAAGGAGGAGGATGGAGGTGTCGAGGAGGTGAAGAATAAGGAGGAGAAGAAGGTGAAGAAGGAGAGGAAGAAGAAGGAGAAGGCTGTTGAGAAGGAGAAGAAGCCGAGGAAGAGGAAGGAGAAGAAGGAGAAGAAGGAGGGGAAGGAGGAGGAGGAGCAGAGTAGTGATAGTGATAGTGATTGAGTGATTGAGTGCGGTTGTTTGGATGGGTGGGGGGGGGGGGATATTAGACTCTCTCTCTCTCTCTCTTTTCTTTCTTTCTTTTCTCTTTTTGTTTGTTGTTTTGACTCATTCATATATATCGATCGATATGATATACCTCTCATATTTCTATTCTATTTCTATTTATATTAGCTATAATCTCTTTCTCATCAACACAAAAAAAAGTTTGGATTTTTTGGGGGGGGGTTGCATTTTATTCTTGAGCTTTCCTGTGTATATAAGTTTGTTCGTTTCTTCTCACTTTTCTTTTCTTTTTATTTCCATATATTTCCATTTCTTTTTTATATATCATCATGCATGAGCAGCAGCAAAATTACTAGTTAGTTAGTTATCTATAGCTAAGCACATGTTTCGTTGCGTGTGATCTGTTTTTTTTTTGAGAAATGTATACATACCTCCTATCCTATATTTACCCAACGAAACCACAAAATTTTATTCTCCACTTTCATCTTACTATCATGATATGCCTCGTTTTCCCGCCTTTTCCCCATCCCATGTGATCGCTTTCACTCTCCTTGGCTGTAAGTGAAGCTTAGTACATACTTAAGCAAGGTAAGGATCGAGCGTTACCCTGAACGAACAAAAACCAGGACGAAACAAGAAAATGCAGGAAAAAAAAAATTACAAAAAGTAATGCGGCTTATGTGGATCGAACACAGGACCTTCAGATTGTATGAATTGTATACCGAAGTTTGAACTTCAGTCTGACGCTCTCCCAACTGAGCTAAAGCCGCTGATTGATGTGAAACAAGGTGAGGTGCTAGCTATGTTCGCATGTTTTGCAATGTAAATTCGCAATCACAAATGAATTGTCGAGAGGTCCAGGGACTAGGGAAACCATGTTCGCAATTGGAGTCACTCTACTAGGCGAATCATATGATGCAACACCATGAAAATTGCAAGCAGACGGACGGTAAAGTAATATTTCTTTATTCTTAATTCCCTGATCACAGAAAAATAAAAAGACATATAAAGAGAAAGAACGAGAAGAGAGAAAACCATCTAAGACGAGAGATAATTAGAGGCAACAGGAAAAAATCAAAAACATAAACGAAAAGACATTATCCATCACACTCGTCATAACCAAGACCCCCGCAAACGAAAGGAAACACTTCCTCCACACAACGCGCCCAATCCATATTCAATGTCCATCCCATCCAATCAATAGCCCCTAAACCCCGAAACAGAAAAGACGAAAACACAACCAAAGCGAGATATCAATCATTATAAACAAATCAGCAAAGGAAAAATAGATTGGCCCTCCGCCTACTTCGAAAGTGCCTTCATCTTTTTGCTCATAAAGTCAAAGAACGAGAACTGCGATGGGCTGCTTCCAGACTCATAGATAAACCTCGAGGCCAGATAACTGCCAAAGATTGCTCGAAGGTAACTATCAGGAACATTCCTCAAGATGGTGTTTAATCCAACCTTCTCCAATAGGACATTTGGAAGAGCCTCCTCCAACAATGCCGTCCTTAGAGGAATGTTATCCCACAACTCACTCCTCTGTAGCTCTTCGTCGAGCTTTGTGATGGCGATGCTGAGTTCGTCAGAGATGATTGAGCGGGCCTTTCCAGTGGCTGCATGTTCGCGCCAGATGGCTTCGAATTCCAGTGCTGCATTGCGCTTGATTGTTTCTTGAGTAGCCTTGACATATGCCTTGTAGAATTCTGGGGTGACACCGTCCTTGACACACATGTGCTCTAGGAAATCTGGGTCATCGAATGAAAGAGCGGCAAGAACTTCCATAGACGAAGAAGTGACACCACCCTTGTTTGCAGAGGCGTCTTTGAAAAGAATGGTGCCTGCTTTCTCCAATCGGAGTTTGGCGTCTTGTGTGATGAATAGGTTGGCTCCTTCGACGATGTAAGGGATGGTTGACTTTCCGTCAACGATAAGCTTGCCAACATTGCTCAGGTCAATGGCCTCCGGACGACCACCGCAAGGGACAAAAGCGTCGTACACTTGCCCACCGCGAATGTGGAATGTGTTTCGGAAGATCATGCCATTATCTACAACCTCGCCTGATGGGAGCTTGACATCTGTCTCGTCGACCAGCACACGATATCCCTTTGGTGAGAGCTTCGAGACATCAAATTCCGAGATCATCACTCGTTTCTTAGCGAGGCGGATCAGTTCATCTCTGTTGAGTCCATTGGGATCAACTAGGACACCAGAGCCGTCGACAATGGCAGTGTATTTTTCATTGCTGAGTAGAATCTCGTTGGATCCAAGATCACCGTCTGGGCCTCCGGTTTGCATTTTTCTGACGTTAGCAGGATTGATGTTGAGCTTCCTGTAGATACCCTTCACAAATTCACGGACCGACAATGAAGTCATTCCATACTCGTCATGAGGAATTCCACCAAGACTTGGGCTCTTTCCGGTGAAGAATGACTTCCACCATGTTGCTCCACGAATTCTAGCGTGCTCTGTAGCCCAATCAACCAAATTGGCTGTGTTTTCATCAGGACCCATAAAGAGAATTTCTTGCTGCTTGTGCAGGTCGACAATGGGGTCCTTGATACCGGGACTAACAGCGGGAAGGAGCAAGTCCAAAATGGCGTCAATGTACTTTTGGAACGCTTGGGTCGCCTTATCTTGGTGATCCGGGTCCAAAAGAACGACACCCTTGCTGCCGCCCTCCGGAATGTCCTTGTTTTTGCGTTGTTGTGTGTTGGCAAGGTTGTAATTTTCGTCGAAAACTGAGCGGACATTGATGGCATAGAATTCTCGGTTTCTGCTCTTGACGATACGGATACCACCTCTGGCAATATCCCTGAAGCGCTATATCACAGGAATGTTAGCAAAATGATTTCTTGAGCTGAGGTTAGGATAGTAATTACCAAGTGGAAGCCTCTGAACTCGGTACCAATGACCAAAAACATGCCGTAGAGCGGCTGTGGGTACTCCATGGCAGGGAGGAAAGATGGGTTAAATCTAAAACTCAATGCCACTTTGGTTGGAGTGTAGAAGTTTGTCTTCAAAACATGCTTGTTGAAAACCATGAAGGCGTCCATAACCATAGCTTGGTGGTCATTGGAGACCTTGCGCCTGATGAGATCATGAATTTCCTGGTCGCTGAGGACCCTCTCGATCTTCAACCTCAAGAAACTCAATGTCGGGCGGAAGTCGTCGTGCTCGCCGCGAGTTTGAACGTAGTGAACGTTGGCAAATTTGAGGTACAATGCACGCACAAGTTCTGGGTGCTGGTTGATGATCTCAAAAATGTACTCAGATGTGAAAGTCTCTTGGCGGAGACGGCGTTTGATCTTGGTCAATACCTCTACGTGGATTGGGTTATTGCTATCGAGCAATGAAGCCAATGACGTGTATTCTGAGCCCAATCTGTTCAAAAAGTGCCCAATAAAGATGCACACAGAGTGTGCATAGATGGTCTCCTGCAAGCTGAGCGTGCCCTTAATGAAGTGAACCTGGAATTTGTTTTGTGGGATGCAGTAGAGGAGCGAAACCTCCTTCATGATCTGATAGATGGATGCCTCAATTGGTGGGAATTCACGATCAGTTGGGGCTCCAGACTCGGCAATTCCGCTTGGAAGAGGGCGGAGATAGATGGACATGACGGTAACGCCGTTGGAGAATTGCTCTGTAGATTTATTAGCCAATGATCTTGGGATTACTAGATTGGGCAATTAAACGTACCGACGTATTTTCGAGCACTGGTAACTCCGTAGTAGTGGTACAGATCACTCAATGCGCTGAATAGGCCGACGGCACTGCGCTGGCGGTAACCAACGACCAAGCGCTTCTCGCGTGTGCCCTCAACGTCAAACATCTCGATGACCGGCCCAGTGCGCTCCATGACACTGCGCACGACATTTTGGTAGATTTGCTTGGTGTTCTCGGTAACCTTCTCCAAGAACGCCTTGTCCGAGATGATTGCCAAATCCGTCTCATCTGCTGGGGGGCTTGGGTTCACAAAGTCGCATTGGTACACAAAGTAGCATCTGAGCTGCTGGCTAGTGTTTGGTATCTGCGAGGACGACCGGAAGGTTTCGACGCGGTAGGCCTTCTCGGGATTCGACGAGTTGAGATACTTCTCATCGATGCGCTCCTCGTAGCGGGGGCCCGAGAGGACGGTCACACCGGGAGTGGAAGTGTCGATGTAGACGGCATGTGCTGCATTGGGTTAGCCGAGTCGGACTCGAGCAGGGGATGAGCGGCTGCCAAGCAGCTGTTTACGTACTTTCAGACTCGCGGTCGAGGCGGATCTCCAGCCGCTTGTCATCCCGCGAATATGCGGCAACCTTGCCCGCATACAAGCTAAGAATGTGGTTGACGATGGACTCCTGATTGGGCAGAATGGTCAGCTCAGAAACAGCTGCAGGCTGCGAAGCACGGCATGGGTGTGGAGGAGGTGGTGACGTACGACCGACTCTGAGCGAAAGTACAAATCTAGGGGGCAGAATTAGCATCGAGTCGGAATTGGCGGATTACGGAATTGAGTGCTTACCATCAATGCCGAGGGCAGAGTAGAACCATTGGGTCTCGGTCTCGACGAGTTCTGAGGGAATGAAGCCCTTTGCTTCTAGGGAATCCATGACTGTTGCGGTGTCAGCATTGATCAGAAGGGGGAAGGGGGGTTTGCCGGGAATATCGACGAACCTTCCTCCATCTGCTTCACCTTTCCGTCGAACGTGAGGCTATTGTATCCGGTTGCATCTGTGCTGGATATGCGGTTCGTGTTTCCGCCAAGACTGAGATGTGTGGGCTGGGGGGAGGGCGTGTTGAAACGGCCCTCGTCGGCGGCAACTAGCAGTGTGTTGTCTGGCATGGCTGTGGACTTGTGGCTTTGCAAGGGACGAGGCGGACAAAATGTGGGGAGGGGAGAATGGGATCTAGAGATGCAGAGGGGACGGTTAGCTGGGCCCTCGCCAAGTATATATACTCGCCCTGTCTCAGTCTGGCGGCTGGACAGCCCGAAAGAGGGCGCTGGCGATGCCTGGGATGGCGGAGGGGGGAGGGCTGGAGACTGGTGGCTCGGCTGGACCGGCTGGCAATGGCTGCTGCAGGCAAGCTGCACGCTGAGCTGGGCCGGAAGGAGGGCGTCGGACGGGAGAAGCTTACCTACCAGCGAGATGTGCGGTGCGCGAGGCAGGAGGTTCCCACGACGCAATTGGGCAAGGCCGTCTAGCAACGGGAGCGAGTGGATACAAGCGGTTGACAGGAGGCGATAAGGCTGGGGCAGAGTGCAAACTATATGTGCCCAACCGCGCTTGGTCGTGGCAAGATAAGGGACGGGGGCAGCAGAGACGGGGGGAGGTGGGGCGAGTGGGGTGGTGAGGGTGCTCGAGTCCAGCTATGGGGCGGAGGAAGATGTGCTTTCTAGATACGCAGCGAACCCGTCTGTAGTGAGCGGGGCCCGCCTCTTTATAGCTGGACATGCTATATCGACTACATCTCTCGTTCCAATTGCAAGGTGTTTGTGCTCTCCATTCCCGGCGCACCCTGGCTGGAGGCGGCAGAGTAGGGGCCGCGAAGCCTGGAGCTCAGCAGCGTGGCACGTTGCGCTGAAGCTCCGCCCGCCCTGCCCTGTGCACCGTGTTGGGAGCTCTCTCTGCGCCAGAGGTTTGTCACGGCACAGTGCTGTCACGGAGCAGGTAGCTCCTTGCGCATGCGCGGATGCGTGCGTGCGTGCGTGCGTTCCTGGCCGATGGCGGCGCATTTTCTCGCGGATTGCTTGGCTGCCTCTCATCACTTCCACACCGGGACA